CTTAAAGGTCTTATACCTATATCTCTAATCCAATCTCTAGACCCATTTGAAATCTCATATGCTAACTTCTTTTAACTTATAATCTAGCTACTTCTCAAAATTTCTGATCAACTCTACAAAAATATCTGGATCTTATACTGTATCAATTTCTCTAACTAGAAAAAATTTCATCAAATTTCTTTCTACCCTAACTTTAATAATTCATCTCAATCTTCTTCATGGCCAACCAATAGAATAAACAAAATTCACTATACTTACAGCTGTCCGTGCAGCTCTGCTGACCAATTACACTCAGAATTTAATACTTGCCCTTCTCTAGACAAGCTACCTTTAAAATTAATATTTGGTCTACTATGTAGATCAAATATAGCACTTTTATTAATTATATCCTAAAAATTCAAATCTAGGTGAGTTTTGACCACTCTAGTAGGTTTAGGTCGCAAATAATTAGTTTAAGCTTTTGTTTAAGCTTCTAGTCTAAGCTTTTATTCTTGAATATAATTTATATTTATTTGTTTCTATACAAATTAAGTCTTTATATAGTTGATATGTAATTACTTATATAAATTAATCAATAAAGATATGAGCAAGATCTCACCTTAATACCAAAAAAAAAATAAATAAATAAATTAAATTATAAATTAAATTAATTTATAAAGTAAATTAATTTATAAAATAAATTAAATTATAAACCAAAAAATAAATTAAAAATTATCATAATTAAGAATTAATTTAAATTAAAATTAATATAAATTAAAATCAATTTAAATTAATAAATTAAAAAGTATTAGTTTATAGTAACTCTATATAAATAAGTAATCAAAATTAAGTATAAGACTATATAATAGGTTGCTTAATATTGGCCAATTAAAACTAGCTAAAAAGTTTTAAATTTTTTAATTAAAAATAAAGAATAAAAATAAAAAATTGTATTAATTCTTAAATATGATTGGTTGCTATATATAGAAAATATATCTTTCTTTAAATTTTCTTAAATTAAAAATCAAAATAGAAATTAAAAAAACTAAAAAAATAGACTTCAATATTTATGTTATTTAATATGTGGTATAACTATATGGGTGGTCAAAAGTAGAAATCTCTGAATTTGACCTTTTTTAAAAAAATGAGTTTTTAGATTATTTAGATATAATTTTTAATACTAAATCTTTTTTATATAATAACAAAAATATAATCAATTAGTAAATTTTAAAGTTATAGTTATTTAAAAACTTTTACATAGTAAAATGGCAAAATCTAAAATAATCAATATTTAACATTACACAATTGTTTATATTTGATTACAGTAGATTTATAAAAATTAGTCAATCAGTTAAAATAAAAAACAGGTTTATAATCCAGAATTATTATTTTTAGGTTTGTTTTGTTTTGTAGAACAAAATATGATTTGCCAATTATCTCAAAACTTGTGATTATCAAAATTCAGCAGTTTCTACTTTTAACTGCCTATATGATCAGCATGTTCTAGCAATATATCTTGCTATTCTTAGTGTAATAATACATATACAATTATGTGTAATGATAAGGAAATGGCCAGAAATTAGCTAATATTCTGGGAGTAAAAAAATTATCAGGTATATAGTTTTAGCTAATTAAATTTTTTATTTAATATCAGGTAGGAGGTTAAGCTCTTAATAAAAAAATATTAGCTTATAAATGGCTCTGCTCTAATATATATTAGAAATTAAAATGACATAATTCAGAGTAATTTAAAGTCTATTTGACAGATAAATAATATAATGCTATATAAAGAAAATAATAAATTGTAAATTCAATTTACAAAGTTTTACTTTTATTTTTCTTAAATAAAAGCAGTATTAGTAAGAATCATTATGTTATTTTACATATGTAATTAGAAATTTGAAAATAAAATATGATAAAAAAAATAAAGAAAATTAAAAGTAATTTTACAAAAATAATAAAAAGCAGCAAATTAATAGCTAGCTGATAATGAAATAAATATCAAAAAGAATCTAAATATTTTAAACAGAAAAAAAAGTGAATAAAAATTTTATAAAGTAATTAAAACTTCAATTATTTATTTAAAACTTCAATTATTTACTGTAATAATTATAATTAAAAACCTAAAATATTTATTTAGAGATAATTTATATATCTTATATGCAATATTACCACATCCCCTGCAGATCATAAAATTGGGTGTAACATGAAATCAAAACAAACTGTTTTTTGTTAGTTAGGGTTAGGGTGAGGTAAGGTTAGTGTTAGAGTTAGTGTTAGGGTTAGAGTAAAAGTTTTTTTATAGTAAAATTTTGTAAGGAATTTTTTTTGTTAGAATATGAAAGGTAGTTTCATATACAAAGTTTTGAGTTATAGATGATTTTTGATAAAATGAACATTTGTTTTGAATTTTCTAATTGTGCTACGTTACACCTAATCTTAAAATTTGATTGGTTGATCATGTGAGAGGCGATAAATTAGTGCCACTGCAGGGTGAGGTGAATAAATATACTTATTTATTTATTATAATAATCTTATATCTAAAAAAAAAATTAACCACTTATTTATTATTATAATTATATATTTAATTATATATATACAATATTCTATCATAAATAAGCACCTACCTTTTTGCAATTTTCATATTCAAATTTTCTATGAACTAGTAATCAGATCTGCATAATTTTGGTACTATTTGAATCAACTTATCAAGACAATCTAAATAGTATCGAAATTATACAAATTTGATCACTAGATTATAAGAATTTTGAATATAAAAATTGCAAAAAATGGGTGCTTATTTATAATAGAATATTGTAATTAAAAAACTTTATTTATTTATTATAATAATTATTATATCAGCTAAATGCAATACTTGTGGCAATATTTATTCTTTATAGTAGTATTACTAAAGTATAAAATAAAACTTGTATAAGAATAATTTTTTAATAAAATCTAAAATATAAACTCAAATATTAAATTTATATATTTAAATAATTTATAAATTAAGAAATTTTTCTTAAGAATAATTACTTATATAAAATTTGTATTACATAATACTATAGCATTTGAAATTACTTTTGCATTTAGTATAGCTTTCATATTTGTAAATAATACAAATAAGAATAAATTTATAAATTATAGAATAGAAAAAATATTTACAAATTGTATAAAAATTAGAAATATATTTACAAAATATATAGAAAATATACTTACAATCAGTGTTTAAAATTTGATGTTCTCAGTATTCTCAGAGAACATTTAACAATTTTTATGAATATGAATTACTGGAAAATGTTCTCTATTTGAGAACATTTAACAAAATTTTTTAATATTAAAAAATTTTTAATTTTCTAATACTGAGAACATTAAAAAATTTTTGAAAACATTAAAATTTTAAAAAATGTTTTTTTGAGAACATAAAATCAATTTTGAATTTTAAACACTGCTTACAAGTATACAAGAAACATATTTACAAGTTATATTGTTAATATATTTAAAAGTTATATTGATATATATTTACAAGTCATATTGATAATATATTTACTACTGATTTACAATCAAAAGTAGGATATTCATCACAGCAATATTTTTTACCATATAAATTATATTTGTAATGGTCTAAGTTTTTCTATTTTTATTACAAATTCTTTTAAAATTTTTCATTTTATAGCTAATAATTTTAGCTCTATCATCTGTAGCTTTATCTCTGTTATTATTATGTTTGACTTCAACTTCATTATAATATATGTTAGATACATCATTTTTATTAATTACCTTTTCTCAATCGAATACTAATATATGATTATCTTGCAATTTAGATTCTCGTGACTTAGTGTAGTGGTCTAGTCATCACCCTCTTCAAGCGGCAGGTCTAGAGTTCGAATCCCACTAGCAACGATTTTGAAAAATAGGCCTGTGTACGGTTGACAGCATTCTATCAGTTGGATCTAGATTAATCTGTAACCTTGGTTACACCATCTAGTAATAAAAGCTTCAGCACAATAAATCCAAGGAACCAGAATAACTGAAAACCTATTTGGCAAGTCCTGAGATTGGAGGTAGTAGTGATCTATGACGGTACCACAGGAAGGCTAAATTCGAACTGGGGCCTAAGATCAGAGAACTGAGTGACCAGGTTCTAATGGTGGAGGACATACTAGTTGAACCACCGGGTTGTCACACCAGAGGAAAAGGATATACACTCCGAAAGTATGGACCAAGAGAAGGGTGTCTTTCAGGCATCTAAAGCCTAGGCAGATTGACTCTTTCAGGTTGCCGGCTGGAAGTAAGGGAGGAACTGATAAAGAATCTGGGTAAGAAAACGGTCTAAATGCGGGATACTGGGGTTGCTAGAAACTAAAACAAGGACAAGGAGTATGTAATGGGTGTCTAATTAGGAAGGTTGGTACTTGAGAAACGTCTGTAAAATAGCAGCACCCCAAAAGGTGGTGTGAGATACGAATACAGAATGGCAGATCAATATGTACTAATTAGAAAGAAGTTATAAGAACAAGCATGTGAATACATGTATCGCTGTGTTAGGTTTATCTCAAGAATAGACTAGGCCTATATGGGTTAGTAAGTTCTAAGGCAGAGTGTGAAAGCCAATATGGGGTAATACCAATATCTACTTAGTTTAGTGAGAAAACCCTCCAGGTTAAAGGGCTGATGGAGATAGTTAGAACCAGATGGTTTAAATAGGTACCCCCCTAGTTGGGGTGCAGGTACAGCAAATAGTGTAGAACCTTTGGGCGGACTACTTAAATTAGGCACTCAAAAGATGCATGTGTGACTTGATGTACCATCGTTATAATTACATATAAAACTCCGTTTATACTCTAATAAAAAGTTCTCTAAGCCAATGAAGGTCACCTTAATACCAAAAAAAAAAAGCAATTTAGGTTCTCCAAATAATTTTTTACCTTCAACATGTTCTGAATCTTTGTCAAGTATTTCTTTTTTATTCTTATCAGTAATATTGGCATTTTGATGACAAATAAGTACTTTACTTTTGTTTCTTATAATTTTATTTTCTTTATCATCACAATACTCTTACTACTTTTATTTTCCTTATTAGCAGATTTTTGATAATATTCTTTATCAAGTCTTTCAGATAAGTTCTTTACTTTCAATTTACTTATATTTGTTTTACCTTCTTCATTCTCTGTTTTTCTATTAGTATTTGCTACTTTAACTGTTTCTTCTTTTATACTTTTTACTTTCTTCATAGAATTGTCAAACTCATATTGTTCTAGAAATATTTGAATAAATTTATCTCATGGCTTAGTGTATCAAGCTTCAGATATCAGATACTTTATCTTCATCTTTACTAATATCATCATTCTTCTCTGCACCATCATACTTATACTACTATACTAAATTCATTCTGTAAACTATATAATCAGTTGCAAAATTACTAATAATTTACCCAGATTCTCATATTATGAGTTAATCTATGACTTTTGTCACAGAACAATCTAGACCAAATAGTAAGTACTTAGTCACTTTGCTATAACTAATTTTTAAGTTTTATATTTAGACAAGTATTTTATTTATTACTCAAATAAACTTTATTAATTAAGAGCAAGACTACTACTAACTAACTAACTACTATTACATTTGCTTTACTTATATATACTTCAAGTAATATTACTGATATCATAATTTTCTTATATAACTATATGATCATTTGACTCTTATATTACTAATAAATTATCTTGTAATTTATGTGTACTAATTATCTTCAATTATATAATTGATTGTTACTTGACCTTTTAATCCTAATTGATTTATTTGTTACATATATCATGTACACAAGATAATGATTGATTGTTTACTTTATCTTTATTCCTATACAAGTTTATTATATACTGAATATTACTATAACACTGGTCTAGTACTAAATCAGTTAATTTGATAATCAACAATATTTAATACTATTGCTTTTTCTATATGCATAGCAAGTATAGAATTAATGACCTCAGCATGCTTTTTGGATATGTTAGTCTTATATTTCAAGACTGAACAAGATATAATAGTAATTCTTAAATCTGCAAAAGTGTTTAAAGTGGTGTTAGAAATATTTGTTGAATCTAAATAAATTAACAAATCTCTTTTGGTATTTTTAACAAACTTATTCCTAATTCCATACAAAAAATAAAATACAAACAAAAGCTTTTTTACCCACATCTATGACTTTATATTTTTTAAATACAGATTAGATAAGAGATATAACTCATCAAAAAATCTTTTAATTGTATATCTTCCTCTTTTATAGCTACCTGGAAATCATCAAATAAATATCAGTTAGTTTATCTCTTTATTTTCATGATTATACAAAATTTTGTTAACACCCTAATTACTTTAGAAAAAGATAAACAGTTATTAGTACTTTCAAATTCAATGTTCTCAAATTCAAATTCATTAGTATTATCAACTTCAGATCATTCGAGATTATTAACATTCTCAACTTCAACTTCTGATTATTCTAGATTATTAATATTCTAAACTTCAATTTCAGATTATTCAACATTAGCTTGAACATGTTGCAGAAATATAGCTGAGCTTCTTGTTACAATTCCATTGTAACAGTTCAAACAAATAGTATCAACTAGTTAAACATAATTTGGTAAAGTTTTGTCAGTTTGATCTTTAGAAATAACATGTTCAGTTACTGTCTTCCAGTTAGATGATTTTCCTTTGCATATAGTGATTACATGTAGCCCTCTAGTAAACATTTTTGCTTCTAAGTAAAGTATGTAAGTTCTGAGATCTTTTTGAGATTCTTTTGTACACTGAATATTAATGCTCTTGCAAAACTAATAATAAAAAAAAATTGTATTTTTTTAGTAAAATGCTACATTATCGAAAAATACTTTGAAGTGTATAAATAAGTTACCCGGGCAATTGATCTACATCTGCCAATCACACGAATGTATGACCATGAAACTACCCCAGTAGCACCAATAGATTTTCACTGATCGACACCAATCAGATTTAATCAAAACAACGACTTTTAAAATAATAAAACATTATACTAGGCTTAGGTTTTGATTTTATGATCGTATTGGAGCTTTTTTTATACCAAAATTTGGCAAGGGATTTTTTTTACTAATGCACAGTAAGTAAAATTTTTAAAAAAACGCATGATTTTCACGTTACACCTGATCTTAAAATCTAATTGGTCAATTTATGTCGATCAGTGAAAATCTGTCGGTGCTACTGGGGTAGTTATGACCACGAGGTTATGCCAATCATATAGTTACATATTGATCGGGGTGCAAAAAAATAAAAAAATTTAATTAAAAAAAATTATAATTTAAATACTGTAAAAAACGATTTAATTTATTATTATATAGTTATATTATTTACTAATTTAATTCGTAAATATATATTTTATACAGTATTAATTTATTTATAAAATAAAATTTTAAAATTTTTACAACCTTCCCATAGTTTTACCACGGGTTAACAAAGAATCATTCGGCTAATTTTATCAAGTGTCCCAGAATTTATGAAAACAGCTATAATCTTTTTTTTGGCGAGGACACTAGGGCTTCGTTAACTATAGCTATGAATTTTGAAATTTCACGAATTCGGATCTAAGAGATACGAGTTCGGACCCTAACTTTAGAACTGGATCGATGTTCGGACTGTGTTCGGATCTTTAAAAATACCCACCCAGTCCGAATCATGTGGAACACTAGGTGTAATATACCGTTACAGTTTGTATTAATGTTACTCTGAGATACGTATACGTATGTACAGTACGTAATATCATATGATAGAATGAAATTAGATGAGAATATGGGATTACAGAATACTGGAATATCAGTATGGTATGGTATGGTGACCTGACAGTCTGGTATGGAGTGTATAATAACACATCTCTATTATATCGAATCAGTATAGTTTTTTGTTGAAAATTCATGCTATACTGACCTGGTTATAGATGACATTAAAATACTGAATTGCCCACCACTCTTGAATGTGTGCCAGGTTGGCTGCATTAATCGTTCAAAAAATTTACGCTAACCGATAAATAAAATAAATAAATTTTAATACCATATAAGCGGAAATAACGTTATTTGAAATTGGATCCTTCGAAATAACATGCATGGTCTCAAATTATTAATGCGCATCTTAATGTCACAAATAATTTATTGTTGCGATAATGATGTATGGTCGATACTGCATATTCGCAAACTCTATAAGTGCACTTCACATGCACTTTCCCTATAATGATACAGTATAAGTGCGCTAATTAATTGACATGTGTGTTATTTCGAAATAAGAGAGGATTTTCTAAATCCAATACAATTAAACTTCCACAAATGCACGCTGTTAGGTAAAAAAAATACATTTATAGAATATTCATTATGAGAATAATCTTCATATAATATTAAATAATTACATTAGATTAGAGGTCAATCCGGATAAATCCGTCATCCGTTTATCCGTATCTGATTTATCCGGATAATTCAGATCGGATAAACAGATCCGATATCCGGATAATCCGACTGAATTCGGATAATTATTCGAATATCAATAGTAAATAGATATCCGCTATCTTTTATCCGAGTATCCGATCCAAACATCCGATAATTATTCGGATAAATGCTATTCGGATTGGACCTCTACATTAGACCGATCAAATTATATGCACTTATCATTATAGGGAAAGTGCACTTATAGAGTGTGCGATGGAGTATCGATCATATATCATTTATCACAATAAATTATGTGCGACATTAGGATGCGCGTTAATTCGGGACGTCCATGAGTGCTAATTCGAGACCATATAAGTTATTTTTGAAGGATTCGATGTTAAAAACAACGACCACGAGCGTTATTTCGCACCTATATGGCATCACTATAGGAAAGTGCACGTGAAGCGCACTTATAAAGTGTGCGCATATGGAGTATCGACTGTACATCATCTATCAAATTATGTGCGACATTAGGATGCGCGTTAATCCGGGACGTCAATGACAGTGAATAAAATTGAAGTCAAAATTTGGTACGCGTTACGCACCAAATTTTAGATTCAATGTGCGCAAAGTTTGATACAGTAGAACAAAGCCAATGTATAGCGCACATTATTTTAAATAATTATTTAAAAAGTTGCGTGCACTTTGCGTACAGTATTATATTTTTTGTACGCAAAAAATTTCTATGTGCGGAGCGCACATGCGCACATCGAATTTTATTCACTAGTCAATGAGTGCTAATTCAAGACCATTTAAATTATTTTTGAAGGATCCGATTTTAAAAACAACGCCCACGAACGTTATTTCGCGTATATATGGTATTATTATAGGATGTTATTTTTGAAAGACCTGATTTTCAAAATAACGCCCACGAACGTTATTTTTGCTTATACGGTATTATAATTTACATTTTATTGTTGGTTGGCGCAAAATTTTTTTGATGGTTAATGCCGCCAACCTGGCACACATTCAAGAGGTGATGGGCAATTCAGTACTTTAATGTCATCTATAACCAGGCTAGTATGTATGGAATTTTAACAAATAACCATACCCATACTGATATTTCTGTAATCCTGAATACATCTATCGTTATTATCAGACTGCTTAAAATTCAAACTACGTTTATTGCAATTTGTTTAATACATGAATTCGATTTTATTTCATATTTTATTTAGTAGTATCAATTCACCAACTATTACTTCACAGACAACTTAGTTTGCAAAAAATTAAATTACAGCCGAATTCGCAGATAAGTTTGTTTCATAGACAGGTAGTTAACTGATATCTTATTTTATTAATTCTAGTTGTTGTCATTAGGATTATGATTGTTTACAAAATGAGTGAATTAACCGCCTTTAAAATAATCTTGTCTGTAGATTAATGTAAATGAACTAAGTTGTCTGTAAAGTGTTAGTGAAATAATACGGGCGTGGATTCGCTTATTTATTATGTTTGTTTTTTTTTAATTCAAAGGCACGCAACTATTTAATTTTTTTTATTTGTTTTTTTTTTATGTATCCGTAGGCGGTTGATCTATACTATAGGTGGGAAATATAGAATTATTATAAGGCCATACAAACTTAATTAATTGGTTCTCATAACCCGGCTGGGTCAAATTCAACAAAATTTTGAAAAATTTTTTTACTATATTTATTTAACCAGGTGAACTTTTTTAAATATTGGTAAAAAAATTTTATATGCTTTTTGCATATAAAATTTTTTTGAAAATAAAATTAAAAGCCGGGTTGCCGGATCATTTTTAAAATTTTATGTTATGAGAACCAAAAAATTAATTTTATATGGCCTAAGATTGTAATATATAAAAATAACTATTTAAACTAATTTAAGCAAATTTATAAATAGTTAAGGTTAGGGTGAGAGTTAAATTAAGAATAGGTATTATAATCTTATAATATTTCTATATTGCCCACCTATACTATATGAGATCAAGACTTCTATTCTCCTTATAAGGTATTCCTGTAATTTAGCTTTAGTAGTAGAAGGAGTAATAGAAGTAAGAGCAACTATATCTGCAAGAAGTGTAAAATATTTTATATATATAAGAAAGAATGGATTATACTAGAAAGTGAAATATTTGGTAGTTTAATTTACAATCATTAAAAATTGAGAAATGATTCAAAACAGATAACAATTTCTTAGGTATATTAATTTAAGTACATTGAATCTATTTTTTATCTCAACAATTTCATAACATTAAGTATATAATAATTTATGTTCTAGCTTTCTAGATTCAGAAAAGGTTTCAGGTTTTCAAGTAAAGTTTCGAATTTCATAAAAACATTGCAGCAAAACTGAATGATTGGATTAGGTGCTGAGAGTTTTACACTTTTTGAACGAAAAGTAGGTGGTATAATTTGCGTGTAATGTTGCTAAAATTGTAAAGTCAAACGACCTGTCTACTATAAATATTTTTAAGGTATGGGGTTCTCTCTTTTGCGTTACTATGCATACCATATGGGCCGATATACTTTCAAGATGATCTAATTCTAGTCGAAATATGAGAAAATCAAATGACTTTTATTGGTTTGTAAAACTTAGTAATGTCGGCTGAGATTAATTTTTAGATTTTTGGCCAAAGTTTGCGGATTGTAGCCCCTAGCTAACTTTATGTAACTCCGGCTATGTTATGGAGTTTTGTAGAATTGTCTTTTTTTAACATTGATAGAATCGATGTTTTGCCATTACAGAAAATCAATAGCCTGCTTTGCAATCAATTAATTACTTATTCTTTTATAGTCACATAGCAATTTTTTGGGCAAATCTTAATTATTAAGAATTATATACATATAAGAATATAGACTAATTCGAAAAATTTGTCGAGTCTTGAAGATTTTAATCACATTGTATACAGTTTCAAGTGGCTTATATTCATATTCTAAAATTTCGATGCACACAATGTTAGCAATATAATTTGTAATTAAGAGGCATTGGCTATTTTATTAAAACTATTGCAATTATAGGGTAAAGAATTTCGTGTTGATATACTTTATTAATTGCAGAAAATATTAACTAACGGCATTAACAACTTTGGGAAATAAAAAAACATTTTAGGTCTAATTAATAAAGTAATAAGAAATGTATGATAAAAAGAGATTATAAACTTATTTTTTAAAAGCAGGATTTGTCCCTCAGCTAAACTTTGAAAATAAAGATATGCTTTATATTCGTCCATTTCTCCATTTCAACACCAAATCCATATTGATAACAAAAAGCAACACTACGTATTCCATTAGTATCACCTATATCGGCAGATTTTTGATAATTAATAAAAGCCTTATATTCATCCTCTTCGACTCCAATTCCATTTTCATAACAATAACCAACTTTATATAATCCACCAGAATCACCCATATTAGCAGCTTTTTGATAATAAATGAAAGCCTTAGATTCATCATATTCGACGCCAATTCCATTTTGATAAAAAACACCGAGGATATAAGTCGCATCAAGATCATAGCTTTTTGATAATAATTAAAAGCCTTATTCTTATCCAATTTAACACCAACTCCAGTGCTATAACAATAACCAACATGATATAATCCATTATCATTACCCAAATCAGCGGATTTTTTATAATAAATAAATGCCTTATTATCATCAATTTCAACACCTATTCCATGATTATAACAAAAACCAAGAAAATAAATTCCATTAATGTGACCTAAATCAGCAGATTTTTGATAATAAAAGAAAGCCATCTTTTCATCTTTTTTAACACTAATTCCATTTTGATAACAAATTCCAAGAGAATAAATTCCATTAGGATGACCCATATCGGCAGATTTTTTATAATAAAAAAAGGCTTTATCGTCATCTTTATTAACACCTATTCCTTCTCTATAACAGTCACCAAGTTTATTTATTCCATAAATATTATCCATATTAGTAGATATTTGATAATAAAAGAAAGCTTTTTTTTCATCTTTATCAACACCGATTCCTTCTTCATATAATTCACCAAGATCAGTTATCGCACAAGAATTTCCCAAATCACCAGATTTTTGATAAAAATACAATGCCATTTGTTCATCTTTTTCAACCAATTTTCCATAACGATAACAACGAGCGAGAATAATTAAAATTATAGAATTGGATTGATCGTCTTTTGGATTTAATTCATTATTTTTAAAATATTGTTCGATTGAAGTAAGAGATTCAGGATCATAATGTATCTTCTTCATATAATTTACATAAATCATTAATAATATTTTTATTTATTAAGTCTTGAGATTTGTTAACATCGTTTGACATTTTATTCATCATATGTATGGGAAAATGAGCAATGTTTTGATTCTTTGAGAATCGTACAAGGTAATGTAGTATCGGGAATGGAAAAATTAACGATTATAAATACCGTCAAATTACGTAAATGAGTTTATGGTATCACAAATTTCAATTTTCGTTATTATATATACATCACGAGATTTCTAATACTCTTTGCGAATTCAAGTTATTTAAAAAAAAAAAAAAGATCAGAAAAATAGTGCAGTTTTTTTTTAGTATATTTGTCGAAATGTTTACTGTTCTGATTAATTTTCTGATTGATAATTAATGACTATCAAAGGACATAGTAAAATATTACAACTAAAAAAGTTTATTATTTCTGAATCCACTTAAGTCATTATTCTAATGGAATATTGGTTGATCTTGATTGAGTTCTCCAGAGGATGTTGGTAGAACTGGATCGCGAGCTATGTAATGTTGAAATCGTATATATCCGATATGTACAGGTTCAATCGTAGAAAGATAATATTACTTATAATAGTAAGTAATACTATCTAGGCTTCAACAACTTATTTGATTTAGTATCAACTGATTTACTTTACAGATCAATCTTCTTTTTGATATATTAATATCGACTTGAATTGTTAATTTGAAAATTTTGGTAAACATAATCAACCTTAATTAATTATATTATCCGTCAGGCACTATGTATACACTGACGAAAAAATTCCATATTATTGCCGCAGGTTATTATTAAAATCACGTGACATATACTAATTGTAGATTTTTAAAATTCTCAATTTCATATTTTTTAAAACTAATATGCCCAGAATAAATTACATATAGAAAAACAAATAATATTAAAAATGGTAGTGGAAATGATAGTGTATTTCCTTATTATTATTATGTTCGGATGAAGATTCATGAAGTTGCTTAATATCATGAAAACTTGGTATAAAATATGGTGCCGATTGATTAGAAATAGACTTTAAAGGTGGTCGTTGACCTGATAATCTTGGAATACGGGACCTGAAAGTGGATTTCTTGTCATAATTAGACCTTATTGAAGTTGTAGTAGATGCTGAATTACTCGAATCTACAAAAACTATAATATAATTAAAATATATCATTAGCAATAAATTAATAACTAGAATAATCTATACCCAAATACTCTTAATATTGTTCTGGCCCATTACCAAGTGCATATTTTTCTGCTGCCTTCAGCTTTATATTCCTTTCCATTAATTCATTTTAACCATACAAGAAATTTGCAAAGAAAGCTTTCAAGCTCAATAACTTCGGGTATGCTTTTAAATAATTTTTTATAATTTGATACTTCTCTATATCTGTCAACTTCTTGTAACCACTTTGCTATACATTTATCTATATTATGTACTCGCGAGAGTTTAAGAAGCTTTGAAACATCTTCGTCTGTTGGCAATATATTATGTGACATTAAAATATTAAAGAGAGAGTTAAATCAAAACACAATCGTTCATTCTATCATTTATATATATTAATTATTCGAATTATCGGTTCTTATTATTTATTAATTAATTAATTAAAAAATCAAAACAAAATCACTCATTTTATCATTTTTATATATTCATTTGAATAATCAGTTCCTATTATTTATTAATTAAAAAAAGTTTATTTGGGCAATAATATGGTTCCGTCAGTGTATACATCATACCTTATGGATAAACTAGTTATCTGGTATGATGTGATAAACATATTGGTATTCGACAAAATGATAGCAACGCACGTGGCCTTTGGCCACGTGCTTTTGCTATCATCCTGCTAAATACCCATGTATCTGTCACATCATGCCAGATAACAAGAATATATTTTACATGAATTTTTATAATTTTTATCTTGACCTTCACATTTAGTAGCATGCATAATATTTTATAAAAGTTTTCAATTGGACAAATTTATATCTCTAAATTATTTCCAGTTTGCTTAATTTATACAATAAAGTGCTTGTATTTATAAAATAATTTTGTAAGTTCTATTAAATATTTAGATCATAAAATCTAAAAAATATAATTAATAGATGATTTGCCACTCAGTAGAAGCATGATCTTAGTAAAATGTGACTTAGATTACTATATAAATTTACTATAGTGCGAATATGGCGATTGTTCAAGGTAAACTTTTTTCATACTAAGTTAATCATCTTTCTTGCTTAAGAGACTTTTGTAAAGCTTGTCAAGACGCATCCAATGGTGGTTAGAGCGTCAAAATCGGCCTGGTGAGTGCCAAGATATCTTTAAAAAAACCTCTCTTTTACTATGTAAAGAAGTTTATATAGTAAAAGAGAGTTTTTTTAAAGATATCTTGGCACCTACCAGGCCGATTTTGACGCTCTAACCACCATTAGATGCGTCTTAACAAGCTTTACAAAAGTCTCTTAAGCAAGATAGATGATTAACTTAGTATGAAAAAAAGTTTACCTTGGATAATCGCCACATTCACACTATAGTAAATTTATATAGTAATCTGAGTTACATTTTACTAAGATCATGCTTCTGCTGAGTGGCGAATCATCCATTAATGTGTGATTCTTAATAGAATTAAGTTTAAGAGATATATATTATTAAAATTAATTAAAATTTTAATATTTAAATTCAAGCCAAACTATAATTTAAATTAAATAATCATAAATTAATTTATAATATATTCGCAGTTACAATATAAGCAGTAAAGCTTTAAATAATCACTAAAATTTGAGCCAAACGATGCATTCTTATTTTTAGGTTTTTATTTATACTGCTTTATTATTTTTTGCACTTATTGCTCGGATTTCAAATATAGGCCAATTCCTAGTCTAAAATTTCTTTTAACTATATGTTTATTTTTTAATGATATATAATAATAAAAACCCAAAATAATTTAGTTGTTAAAGATATTTATTATTATAAATATTTTATAAAGAAATTATTAACCAAAATATTTATTTATTAAATCCAATAATTTAGAATAAGAACATTTATCAAATAAATAATTTATTTGTCAACAGATAATAAATTTTTTTAAACATATCAAAATTTTAAAACTATTAAAATATAAAAATTATCTAATAAATAATGATATTGTAAAATGCTATTGACAAAAAAAAAAATTATTAAGATTTTGAAGCTTCCTATTGAGTTAATTTTAATTATAAATAATATCTTCAATTGCAATTTACAAACTATACTTTTAAAGTAATTATTCAACAATCTAAACATTAAAATAAATAAGTAATTAATTTATATATTGTATAAATAAATTTAAATACGTAATACTTACTAATAAGAACATCGACTGACTCAATAGATTTGCTTGTTGAAGATAATTCTTATTTAAAAATTATAAAATATATTTTAATCATTTATGCATAATATTTATTTTCAATAGTTCTTTCAATAATACCTTTAATTGCATTTGATATTTTTTGTGTGCTAAAAATTTTGCTAGTGTACATATGATCAGGATGATTTTGAGGAATTATTGGTAATGTTTCAATAATTTTGTCAGCATTTGAAAACTGCTTTTTGATTTCATTTTCATCATCAGAAGATATCTCTTCAAGCCAATCGACAATTTTGGCATAAATATCATAAGCATTAGGTCTCTTTTCAGGGTCTGAATTCATACATTCCTTTGCCAATTCGACATAGCAATCAGGAGTTCCGGAAGCAAAGTCTGGACGCAATCCTTTACAAATCTCCATCCCAAGATTAATATCAAATTTACGTCCATCAAAAGGTCTTTGTCCTGTTGACATTTCTGCCATAATAATACCAAATCCATAGATATCTGCTTCTTGTGTAAATTGCTGTTTATCTGATAAAACTTCAGGTGCAACATAGGGCATGACTCCATAAATGTCGCCTTTACATCTTTCTTTCTAGATAATCCTAAATCCGCGATATAAGTTCTTGCATTTTCATTAGTGCCTTGGCCTTGCAAAATGTTACCACTATGAAAATCAGCATGAATATATCCTGCAGTTCTGTGAATACTATCTAATTCATCTGAAATATCTCTAAGTATTTGTAATTTAGCCTGCCATTTGAGTTTATTAAAATTCTCTCTTGAATATTTATAAAGACACCCATATTGAAATACCATCAAGTATTCATTTGTTTCTGTATTTTGAGTTATTCCATATACCGCAAGCTCAATATAATCTATTTTACATTTCATAAGACTTTTAAACTTTGAAATTAAACGATGAATTAATTCAATATCCAACTATATAATTATAAAAGTAATAAATTAGTTTACCTCCTTTAAAAATTCAAAATTGTTTTCCTTAGAACTGGCCAATGTCTTGAGTGCAACGGTGCTAGACGTTTCACGCGCTTTTACATAATTATAATCACTGCCGTCAACTTTTCGTATGCCATCCAACCAGGTTGCTGAATATACAGAGCCGAATCCTCCTTTGCCAATTTCTTTAACATCAGATAATTTATTAAATGGAATCCATCAATTACATTTTCATATTTAAATGTTCTAAGTTGAAATTCTCTGATGCAATTATCAATATCCATATTTCCACTTGTCCATCCTTGAACAGTCATGTCGGGATCACATGTCAGACACCAATCAATATACGTGTTATTTTCATTACAATGTATGCATTTGCCGAATTTAGGTTCCCTTTATAATCATCAACAAATATTATGTACCATTTTATATAATTAAAGTCTATTTTGACTCTTAAAATTATACTCACCGACTAATTTAATGCGAATGAATGATTTGAAGGGTATAGGCAATTATGAATAAGTATTTGTGAATAAGTATTTTATGAACATGATTTGTTTGCTGTTTCTAATTTTACCGATTAATAGATCATTTTTATACTCACTTACTGAATGAAATGATTTTGCAATGGTAAACAAGTATTTGTGAACATGATTTCTGTTTTTTAATTTCAATTATTGATAAATCATCTTTATAC